AGTAAAACATGGACTCGATTAGTAAAACATTCCTAAATGTAGTTCCTTGTCTGTTTTTTTGTAAATTGTAATTTTAATAACATGAACTTTAGTGTACAAGAGGGCATGCAGTAAAACATGGACTGGACCAATTAGTAAAACATGGACTGGACCCGATTATGGGCCGACCATTTAACTTTTGAGGAGGGGGGGGGGGTGATTTACTGCTGGCAGGGAATTTTTTTTCTGGGATCGTTATGTGCATGATTTTTTTTTATCCCATGTACGATTTATTTTGCCACACTTTCTTTCGCAGCATTTTTTTTTCAATAGCTTATACTATTTAGATTCTTTAATTATAGTTAACGTTGAGTTTTCCGCTTCAGGCATTGCTCTTAATAATACATATTGCTATGAGGTATAACATTTGGTTCAGGGCCTTTTTTAAGGATGTGTAACTGGGGAGGACATAATTAGAGGGGGACCTGCAGAAGTTCCAGTCGGCAAGTCTATCCAGGGCCGTAGCTAGCATTTTACGCATTAGACGCAATTTACAAACAAAAATACGCATATTTTACGCACAGACATATTACAGAAGCAGTGCGGTAGGGAGCTTTTGTTTATTGGGGGCAGAAAGCGAGGGCCGGAGGACCGAGGAAATTTTTAAATTTCGAAATGCCATTTCATAGAAATGTCTTTGAAATGCCATTTGCTGGACTTTGGGGAAGTTTTGACAGAATGCTGATGGTCAGAAAAAAACGTTTTAGTATGTCGAAATTTACAATTTGCCTACAATTTATAGTGACAATACAATTTTATAATATTTTCTCTGTTTAACAACTAAAATTTTGTTCTGCTATTATTGCCATAATTTTCCGAATGGCCAACCCGATTTTCTGATTATGTTGATTCTAAAAAAGTTGGGGGTTAACCACCCCCCCCCCACAATACCCCCTCCTCGCTACAGCCCTGTTTGTATCACTGCAGCTACCTACAGCATATATATGCATGGTTTAACTAATAAGTATACGTCATAGGGCAGCAGCTCAGGCCATGCTTAACTAGGACTCTGAGACAACTGAGTCGACCACCGAAGGCGCGAGCCTCTAGAGGGGTCTGGTGGCATGCCCCCCAGAAAATTTTGGATTTTTTGAAGCTCAGATAAGCTATTTCCAGCATTTTGAGGAGTTTTCCAACAAGAAATTAACCTTACACTAGTCCCTGAAAATCAAACCAGCTGATCTTCTCGGACTGGTCAAATCGATCCCTGCACCAAATACTGGGGCAGGATATTTTTCCCCAGTTTGTTAGTGCAGGTATTTTTGTTGTTGTTCAGAATAGCCTTGCAGGAATTTTTTTTCAAAATCCCCCCCTCCCCCCTCAAAAGTTAAATGATCGGCCCCTTAGTAAAACATGGACTCTTGGTAGGCATGATGTGCTATTCCACTGAATGATTCAGACCAATTTTTTCCTGAAACATTTAAACAATTTTTCATTGTGTTATATTTTAAGCTGCCGTATTTCTTGAGACCCCTCTTGAGTCTGAGGGGCAAGATATTTTTGAAAGTGTCGCGTATCGATTTATTCCACGAACTTCCTAATTATGTACGTTTCCCTGATGACCCCATCTCCCCCCCCCCCACCTTACAAACCTAACACGAAATTGAATAGGGGTCGGTTGTATCAAAGGCGTTTGGCTTAAAGGGTGTATAGGCAAAAAATTAAAAACATTCCTTCTCAATATACATACTGTATTGTAAGTACTTGAACTTAATTTTTATCAACTAAATGAGTAGTTTTATGCATTGTTATTATGTTTAGACAGAAAAGAAAAGTTTAGTTTGCTTGTAGTCAATAGTTCATAGATTTGTTTAATTTATACAACCAACCCCAGATCTATTTATCGGCCGTTGTTCGCACGCAAACAAATATGTAAATGCTTCATATTTAACTATTGACAAACGGTCGCCGGTGGTCAGAATTATAATGTCTGACACTATCAATCCAAAATTCGTAAATTAGTATTGCAGGAAACATGCCGATTGTCGGAGAATCTTTTTATCGAGTATATATTTATAAAGAATATAGTGTACACAACGCAACCACGTCCAAATTACGTTAGAAATTTCCGAATATTTCATGGCATACAAAGCCACGAAGGTGTTTGCTATCCGGAAAATGAAAACGCAATTTACAAACAAAAATACTCATATTTTACGCACATACATATTAGAGAAGCGTGCAGTTCCGTAGGAAGTTCTTTTTGATAAGGGGGTGGCAAGGGCCGAAGGCCCAAGGAAATTTTTAAATTTAGAGTCTCTGAAATGCCATTTCGTGGACTTTAGGGGAAGTTTTGACAGAATTCTGATGGTCAGAAAACAGAGTTTTAGCACGTCGAAATTTACAATTAATTTGCTTACAATTTAGAAGAACTAAATGGGCGAAGGCGTATATGGGTAATATGATTCTTTGCGGTTTGTCATGGTAATGTAGCCACTTGAAATTAATCAATTGTCAGTATTTTAGAGATATATTGAGGGCTGCCCCCTCCCCCCCCCCCCTTGCTACGGCCCTGGGAAGTAATAAACCGAAAAACATTTACCGATCTACGATTTGTTAAATGTTATCCATGTACATGCCGTGATTTTGTAAATCAGTTTATGATACTGACAATACAATTTTATAATATTTTCTATGTTTAATTAAACAACTAAAATTTTGTTATACTATTTCTGCCGTAATTTTCCGAATGACCAACCTGATTTTCCGAATATGTTAATTCTAAAAAAGTTGGGGGGGGGGGGTTAACCCCACCCCCCAAATACCCCCCTTCGCTACGGCCCTGATGTGGACGTGTTAAATAGCAAAGGTCAGGGTTTCAGTTTACATAAAAATCAAGAAATCATCTATATCTATATATAGCATAATACCTAGCTGTCGGTAAATAATTTGGTATTTATTCCACATTTACTTACAATGGTCGATGCTTCTTGAAACTTTACGTTAAATATCGATGAGATCTCTTGTACACTAAAGTTGATGTTATTAAAATTACAATTTACAAAAAAAACAGACAAGGAGCTACATTTAGGAATGTTTTACTAATCGAGTCCATGTTTTACTAATCGAGTCCACCATGTTTTACTAATCGAGCCCATGTTTTACTAATAGAGTCCATGTTTTACTAATAGAGTCCATGTTTTACTAATAGAGTCCATGTTTTACTAATCGAGTCCATGTTTTACTAATCGAGTCCATGTTTTACTAATCGAGCCCATGTTTTACTAATAGAGTCCATGTTTTACTAATAGAGTCCATGTTTTACTAATAGAGTCCATGTTTTACTAATTGGGTCCAGTCCATGTTTTACTAATGAGTCCAGTCCATGTTTTACTACATGCCGTTTTTCACACGCCGCTTGCAACGAATTGTGATCGCGTGGTACACAAATATGTCCTTCGTAATTGACAAAACTGTCACTGACAAAGCGCCTAAAAAACCGTCCTTTCGCAGTTTACTGGGAACAATAGTAGATGCAAGCACTCGCAGCGAGGAGCTTCGTGCGAGGACTGGAAAACCGCCTTAATTTAACACAATTTATTCAGCCATTAATAAATTTATCTAGCACATTCAAAACTTGTCAACACGTTGGCTCCGGACGACGTTCTCACACGACACGCAATATCTCAGGAGGGAAGGTGAATAGGGGTATACAAATCCGCCGATCCGCCCAAATTTGAAGCAAAATCCGCGATCCGACAATGGTCTTTCCTAAATTTAAATCCGCTAAATACTGAAATTCGACGATCCGAAAACCTATTCACCCCCCCCCCCCCCCCCCCCCCCCCCCC